TGTGTGTGTGTGTGTGTGTGTGTTGTGTGTTGCTGTGTGTTCTGTGCTCACGCATCATTGTCTGTGTGTGTTTGGAAACGAGCTTCCAGGTCATTGTCATCGTCAGCTTTCATGGAATATTGAAACATGTTTATTTGCATGTTAAATTCTCCAGGAGATTGATGGTGACAAACTTGCTTTGTGCTGCGATCTTTGTTTTTTTTTTTTTTTTTGTTGCCTCTGGGTGAGAACAGCGGAGGCTGTGCATCAGCAAAATATGTCCTACAGGGGGGAGGGGAACAATCACTGTCATTTATGTTCCTTACCCTTCAGAAGATCAAACAATGGTTCAGACAACCTTTACAATTATGTCTAAATATTTTATTTTGAAAAACGACACCAGAGTTATTTTTATTATCATGCGTGAGGGTTTTTCTTTTTTTTTTTTAATGGTATTTTCCTCATTGTCACATTAGTTGTTTTGATGTTAAACACGTCACCTTGCGTTAATGTCACGTCTCTTCTCTGCTTCACAGGCTTTGAGAGCATCTTGGAAGGCTTGTTTGGGCCGGGACTAGTCAAAGACATCACTCTATTCCAAGGTAAACATGCTCACACACACACACACACACACACACACACACACACACACATATGCACCAATGTGTGCTATATATTCACTTTTGCTGTTTCTACATCGTCAACATTATAAACTTTGTTCAGCTGCAGAGAAAACCTACGTGTAAAACCTTTAACGGGACAACAACTAGATCATTATTTAATCACATTGAACGAGATGTTTTATGAATTTACCAGAATGACAACGAGCAAAAACCACGTCCTCACATCTACCGATCTGTCAACGGCGCTTTATCGCCCCGCCCGCAGAATTAACACGTCTGCACAGAAATATTTCAATCAGGACGAACTCTGCGGCGTCGTCACTAAATGGAGAAAGAGGAGAAAAAAAGTCTGGAGCAGCGGAAGTAGATGTGAAGAATGAAAAGAACCAGCCACATTCAGGGTCAGACCGCGACCAACAGAAACCAGTCGGTCTCGTCTCGTATTGTCTTCATCAACAAAGGTGGCGGCCGACGTCAGCTGACGCAACAGAACGACAACATACCGGAGATGCTTCTTAAAATTCACTTTCCGAGTCGTGTCGGTTCAGTTTATCCTGATTTTATCAACACACAGATTCACTCTCGGGTGAAAGAAAACTCCGCCAAACTCTGAGCTGTGATTTTAAAAATCTAAATCTGTTTTATTTATATTTTTGATATAAGTGAGGATTCATCACGCCGATGAAGTGAAGTCTGTTTCTCAGGATGTTATCAAAGTTGTCCCGAGACTTCATTTAGAATGTGTGTGTTTTAATAGCCTGCGTTATTTGGGCGGCGTCGAGCCGCAGAGTGAAGGAAACTCCGTCTGCGCTGACAAACCATAAAATACTGTGGAATTCATCAGGCCGGTCATGTGACTCGTGTCTCAGAGAGTTTCCCAACTCGGGGCGACACAAATCAAATATAGATGCCATGAGAGGCAGAGCCAGTGACGACCAGTCTCACCTAAACACCCACAACCTTCTCTCTCTCTCTCTCTCTCTCTCTCTCTCTCTCTCTCTCCCCCTCCTCCATCTCAGGGAAAGGAGGTCAACATGGCGTCCGAGAGTCATGTGACCCCCTCCCCCACCAACTTAAGGCATTTTTAGAATATTTCCAATATTTTCACTCATGCATCACACGCCGTCTCAGAGCGGAGCGGCCGTACATGCTACGTGCGCACAGTGTAACACACACACACACACACACACACTAGATTCCATGTACGTGCAACAGCATCAAGGTTGAAGATTTAGTGGCGTTGACATATTCACACATTTAAACACACCACACAAAAAAATGATGTGAAACACGCTCCATAAATTTTCTCCGCTGATCCTTCTCCAGTGATTAATGATTTCCAATATTTCCCAGAATTCCAGAGGCGCACCACTCAGGAGCAGGGGTTTGTGTCGTTTGCTGCAGTAAAGTGTGAATATTGTGTTTTGGTAGATATCACTACCAGAGAAGGTGTTGGACATGTAGTCATGTGACGCCCCCTCTTTTTATTTACACTGCACACGTCTGTTATCGTGGAACAACCAACGCTCGGGTCACGTTCAGAGAGAGAGCAGAGCTGCAATTGAATATTTTACACATGTTGTGTTCATTCTCCATTTAATTTCTCTTGTTGTGATGGTTTCTGTAAAGCACTGTGTATCTTATCATACAGTTTATTATTATTATAACATTTTATTATTCCCTGGCCCCCGAACCCAAACCAAACTCTGCCCCTGAACCTAAAAGCAGCCATTTAACCACGTGGCGTCAGACCCTGCAACTGCAGTGAAACACACACACACACACACTCAGAAATCATTACAGCAGAAACAATGCAGCGTGTGTGTTTAACGGGTTTCTGTAAATATTAAATAAAGAAAATGTTTCTCATTAACGTGATGTTCAGAAAACCAGGATGCTGCAGAAACACTGACCTGATTAATTAAGAGACGTTCGACGCACTGACTGAGCACAAACACCGATAGTTAAAGATTCATGTAAACACACACACACACACACACACACACACACACACACACACACACACTTGACTACTGGGAGGGTTGGGGGGGTCACGTTAGCAGTGGGACTGGAGCTAATTGGCGCCTTCCCAGGGATATTGTATGTGGCGCAACCACAGGGTTCAAGCACAGTTCACCTTTGACCTTTTCATTACAGCGAGAGAGTTAGAGACTGTCTGTGTATCTGTCGCATGTCTCACAGGAGCCTGCAGGTAAAGTGGACTGTGATTGGAGGTGACGTGATCTTCTGTATTGTAAAGAACACACACACACACACACACACACACACACACACACACACACACACACACACACACACACACACGACGGTTGGGATTTGTGATCACGGCAGAAGACGTCATTGTTCTTAAAGGCTCAAACTTGTGTTCTTGCAAGTTTTCGCTCCCTGAAAAGAAACTTAACAGAAGCTCGTCTTGTTTTTTTGCTTCTCGTGGTTTAAATTTAAAATAAAAAAAAAAATACAATTTAAATTAAAGGCTCTTAAATTACAAAACATGCAAAAATAGCTGGTGAGAGCCAAACCAATGTGAGTTTACTGCAGTTATATTAGTATGAATAGATAAGACCCCAACCTTTTCTCTGGTGACTTATCTACACCTGCGTTACTGTGGGATAAATATATTTATATGAATATTCTGAAAGTATATTAAAAACAAAGGCTTTGAAAGCTTGAATTCCAATGAAAAAAAGTTTTAGCATGATGGAAACTAAACCTACTTTTGACTACCTAAAAATAAAACACATTCAAATCTCTGCAAACAATATTTTGCATTTGAGTTTTCCATCCTCCAAACAGCTCGTTATTTCTCCGGTAAAGTCACCGGAGGTAGAGTTTTTCTGCAATTAACTTTGTGCAGTTTGGATTTTAAGAAAGTTTGCTGATGTCTTTTGAGACCTGAAGAGTAAAAAGTCCACTAACTGCTGCTGAGTGCACCGTGTTGGGAGATACTGAGGATCATGGGAGCTGGATTTATTTAACCCCTCTGCTTTCTGTCCTCCTCTCTGCTGCAGACTGCGAGCCGGAGGAAGTGTCTGACTGGTCCTTCGATGAAAACTGTCTCTTCTGCTGCTTAAGACGTGAGAAAATCAAGGTAGGAGACAAACTGGCAGCGTGAAGGTTTCATGACGAGGGTGTGGAAAATAAACACGTGTCCCAAAAGGTTTAGGGACTCCTTAAAACAAAATGTTGGACTCACAAACGAGCCACACGATGAATCATTTACACCAAAGTGACCGTTCAACATTTTATATCCAAGGCTGACAAGAAATGAATCATCAGTATCTTTTGCCACCTTCTTGTAATGTTGAAAATTTAAACAAAGCAAAAATTATAAAAATGTAAATGTGTGTTTCTCTAACACCACACATGTTGTGTTTTTGTCTGCAGCCATTTTGAGCTAGGTGTTAAAAACTTTCCCTCCTCTTCCTCCCTCACACTTGTTATTTGTGTTTTCCAACCATCATGGTCTTGACCCCAATTTAGCTTCTGAAAGGAATACTACATAACTCTGTGTGTGTGTGTGTGTGTGTGTGTGTGTGTGTGTGTGTGTGTGTGTGTGTGTGTGTGTGTGGGAGGACGGAGACAGGGGTGTAAATTAGTGCGACTCCCACCGCAGCAGAGAGGCCGACGCTGCCTCCTCTCAATGTTTCTCAGCTAAAAAAGTCATCAGAGCAGAATAATAACGAGTTGCTTCTTCAACGTGCACGTATGCACACGCACGGTGGTGGCGGCACCTGTGTCTGCTCGCTCTGCTGCAGACTCAACATATTCACGTGACGCAGCCGCTTGCCGTTATCCCCCCCTTGCCGCCCTGCTTTGCTAAAAAAGAGGAAGAACAAAAGGAAAGCGTGCACTTATGTTCAATGGCCCCTGTTTGATTCCATGCAGGAGGGGGGGGGGGGGGGGGGGGCTGTCTCCGTCACCACAGCGGCTGTTAGAAACCACGGAGACAAATTCATCCATTAGAACAGAAGAATTTAAGGTGATGGACGGAAACTTGAAAACACATTTTATTTTGCAGGAGTTTCTTCAAAACTTCCAACAATCTCATCTCGTGGAGCTTTTGATTCTGACATCAGCAGAATAATCGAAATGTCTGGTCTCCGTGCGGGTGAAGTGCTTTCTGGGGATGTTTTTATTTCCATCTTATTGTTCTTTATTTTTGGAGAGTGATGGAACAAGGGATTGAGGAGGCGAAACCAAGACGGGAAGGAAGTAGGAGTGGGGGGGGGGGGGGGGCGGCGTCCTTCCCTCAGCCGCTGAGGGTCGCTTGTTTTTTAACTTGACCTCAGTTTGACCTCCAGGGTCGGCCATCTGCCTCCTTAAAAACATCCCGGCTCTACCGCCACCACCGCCGCACTCCATCAACCCCATCTGTCGCTCTGTCGTCCTCTTCAGTCCCTCTCGCTCTCTCTCTCTCTCTCTCTCTCTCTCTCTCTCTCTCTCTCTCTCTCTCTCTGTCTCTCTCTCTCCTGCTGACAGTGTAACCAGAGCTGAAGAACCACAACAACACAAAGTTCCTCTGTGAAATACAGTAGTTACAGATGAGTTAAAACTAAATCTAAATAGATCAGAGAGAAATCAATTAAACAAAGTCGAGCAGGGATCACAGGAGATCTTTCGTCTGATTGGTCAATAATCGTGTTCACAAACCCTGAATGAGACGAAACCTTGCAGCCGGCTTCATTACGTTCCTCTCCTCACTCAATACAATTTTCATCTTTTATTAATCTGTCAGGGCTCCGAGGCTTTCTGCGTCTCGCTGTTATTACCGTCCGCTTGTTTGTGAAATGCCATCGGAGCTTCAGGAGGCGGGACTCATTGATTCATTGATCTGAGGCCAAAAGCAGAACGAGAGAGAGAGAGAGAGAGAGAGAGATGGGGGGGTTAAAAGAGGGAGAGGGAGGACCGGCCTTAAAAACACACACTCCAACGTCTGTTTGTTCCTTTGTCTCTTACACACACACACACACACACACACACACACACACACACACAGTCCCTGTTTAGTGTTTTTAACACAATAACAACACACTCATTATAACCACAATACGAACTGTGGCTGTTAATCCTTTCTCCAACAAGACGCTGGATTCACATTCCGACTGAGCCGTGGTCCCTTTCACAATAATCCCTCGTTTGCGTCTCAAGGCCCTGGATGAAGCCATCCGATTGGCTGTGAGCTTGCAAAAGGCCCGCCTCCAACGAGTGAGCCGTCCCGCCGCCACGTCTCCCTGTCGCGGCTTTTTATTGGTCATCGAGCAGCTGGAGCTGTTTGATAGGTCGTCGTGTTCTTCAGCAGCAGTTTACGAGAGAAGTGACAAAGACAAACCATGAACACCGACACGCTCAATAAGAAAATGTCCGATCACGTTAACCTCAATAAGATCAAACTCGGAATCAGCAATAATCAAACTCGTCATTATAACGTCGTTCACGGCATTTTGCGACATTGACATACGACATCGTTGCCAACTGCTTGACGACACGTGTCCTGGGATTTGTAGCCTTTTGCAAAATTAATTTTAAAAAGATATGAAACGGCAGCGTTGTGCATCAAGTATTTCAGTCTGAGGACAAATTGGACGTAATGTCTGGAGCAGGAATGTGAAATATTCTACGGACAATAGTTGCAAACAATCGTAACGTGTGATTCAGAACAAGATGAGTGGTGTAGACCTGAGCAGTTTATTAGGAACACCACACCATCACTCCTCATTGTATATGATTGTAAAGTGTACGATATATTTTTGGGAGTTGGACAAAACAGTCTCACTCATTTGTCTCCCGTGTGTGTGTGTGTGTGTGTAGGACCACGGTGTAGAGAACGGTGGAGGCAGCCAGGTGCTGTCTGAGTGTGAAGACTTCAAGCGGGAGCAGTCTCGGATCAGCCGGCTGGAGAGACAGGCCCAAGACTTCCTCAATGCTGTGTTCCACAGAAAAGGTACGACACACACACACACACACACACACACACTCTCTCATCAGTAATTTCTTCACTCATTATCACATTCCCTCTGGTCATGAATAACTAGAATATCTTGGTATTTCCAGAGGTGTATTTCAAACAGGTTAAGTCAGAAAATTTGGTTAATTCCCACGAGAAATCAAAACCCTATAAGGAAATATAATACCAGAGTATATTATATATTTTATATCTCAGACAGTACCTGCATTTAATTATTTTCTGTACCAACTGTTGAAACTAGATCTTATAAGACCTGGAAACGTCATCATGTATTTTAGAATCCGTCGCACGGCCCCACGTCGGTGAAATGTTCTTGTTGCTTCACAGAATCTAAATTAGTTCTCGTCTGCAGAATTATATTTTCTTCATGCGTGTGGACGCATCAGGGAGTCGTTGACGTGTCAGTGCTCTGGAATGATCAGATAAGTTTGACCTGCAGAAGACTCGGCTGTACTTTGGAATATCTGTAGTTCGTTAGTTTGTTCTTGGGGCCGGGGAGAACAAAAGAAACGGCATCAGTTTAATGATTACAAAAACACGACCTGTACACTTTTTCAGGTAATTAAACCTGTGGACTTTGGAGTTTTATACTTGTTGAGCTGTGGAAACTATGCATAGAGCAGACTGAGGAGATCTGTTCCCTGAATTGAGAAGGACACATGTGTAAAGTGGAGTATCATCTGCATAATATGACAATTTGTACAGTTTGTAAAAATGGATGAAAGAAAAGGGGACCAGGGATCGATCCCTGAGGGACGCCGCATGGAACTTTATCAAAGTTTTACATTTGGAACGAAGGCGTTTCTGCCCTGTAGGTAGAACTTAAACTGGTTCAAATCTGGGCCAAAGAGGCCGACCCACTTTTCCAAAGTGTACTAAGAGTGCCATGATTACTGCGAGAGGCCTTGTGGGAAACCCTGCAGAAGGTTATTTTACAGACATGAGATACCAGGGGTGAATTTGGGAAGCTGGAAATATCATCTGTTTGATTGATGACTCCTCAAACAACTACCCAAAGATCAGAGGTACATAAAAAATACATGAATACTGCTAATACTGACAAATATTATATATATCAGAGACTTTTCAGGGATTAATCCCAATCTGATGAGGGGTTTTGGTCCATTCAGCCTGACGAGGACTAAATATCAAACCAGCGGTTGTGTCCGGTTCACTGTAGGACTCTAACATAATTAGTCACAGGAGGTTTGCTGCCTAAATGTTGAGAGCCAAATATAAAGCTGCAGCACGGTTGATGCAAATGTTCGGTAACGATGAGCAGTGTGGGGGCTGGTTACCCTTCAGGCCCGCGAGGAGACATTTCCATAAACCATGACATTGTTTTATTTAAGGGTGGAAGAGTTTTGCATATGCTTTCCACTACATATAATAAAAAAAGATCTTTTCATTGGTATTTTCAATACTGGATGGATTTTCTTGTGCTCCAGCTCAAGCTGCACGATCCGAAGGTGCTTGCACTCATGCCACAGTAAATTATTTCCGTGCCTCTGTGAAGATTCAGTTTAATAACCTTGAGCCTGAGGGCAGAGGCAGTGAAAGGGGAATGAAAACCGTCCAAAATGTGTAGGCGTGGAGGAGAGGAGAGCAATGCACAATGGAAAGTTTAAGAGTTTCACTTCTCTTCTGAAAAACTTCTTATCAAATGAGTCACAAACGTTCGCGTACAGTTTATTAAACATGAGTTTCTGCACCGACAGGAAATATTTAGCATTTAAAAAAAAAATCGAAGTTCTTTCTTCTCACTCCAGCAGCAAATATATGAACGTAAAGGTTTTATAGCTCAAACTATTATCATTCCTGTCTCTCTTTCCTTCGTCCACACAAGTATTGTTTCTCAGTCCTTTTGAGACACGATCTGCTTCTGTGTGTCTTTGTTTTTGAAATGAGAATATCAAGAATCCATTTAATCATTTTTAGGATGCAGGTTCCTGCGGTCAGTCCGTCAGAGATGTGACGGTTGCTCTGGTACTAAAACCCAGGATTATTTAAACTGATTATTGTGATTTAAGAAAAGTCTGAATAGAAGAGTGAGTCCAGAAAACGTGGACGTGGTCATTTCCACACAGCTCGTAACTGAGTTTGTCTCCGCTCGTGTTTGATAAAGAAGCGAACCAGGATTTTCTCCACGGGTCCAGGAGTTGGTGCTTTTAACATATTTGTTGTGAAATGCTCTAATTCTGTGGGTGTCGTTGTTTTCGGAGCTTGCAGCTGTTTTTCAGACATTTGTTTCCTGAGTTTCCGTTTAAAAGAAAGACGTTCACGTTGATTCTGTGTATTTCTGTATTTACATTCACACCCAGCTTTGTTGCAGGAGTCAAAGCTAATTCCAAGTCCCTGAATATTTGCTGAGTTGACGTTCCTGACGGTTCTGTGTTGTGGCAGTTATTTAGTGACGGAGCTGTGTTTTTCCAGGAGTGAGGCAGGAAACAGATGTCTGTCCAATCAATGCCCAGTCCTAATCAATTTGGCTGTACTCGCACAGGCAGAGCTGCCCGCGGAGCTGCTATATATAGAAGGATAAACAGTCACACAGGCTTCGTCATGAGGACACACACACACACACACACACACACACACACTGATAGACAGACACTCAGAGGAGGACGGCTCAGGGATGTGTTGACATGCGACGGCACCGCTCTGAGACTCTGTTCTGCCCTCATGCTCATTTCTTTAATGGTAACTCAGAATGGTTTAGATGAGACAGATTGTGAACCTCCTGCTTCAGGTGATTTTACTCTAAGAATAAGGTTCATGTTGTCGTTGTTGTCTTTACGTTGTCATCTGTTTGTTTGTTGGATCGTACGGAGGATCAGTAGACTTAGTGACAGGATGTGATCACGGGTCATGAAGGAAATCCTCAAAACTTTGGTGTGGATCCAGATCAGGGGACGGATTTTCTTTGGTGATTTCTCTGAAAAAAAAGTTGTTGGAGTTTGATTAAAATAATCAGATATAATTAGAAGACTGATACTACAAAAATCTGGATCTAGTGAATTTAAATGAGCCTTGATGGAGGAAGTAATACATATGTTAATCGTGCAGGTTTCTAACAGTCGTAGTAGTAATGTCATATAATGTATAAATATACTGTGTAATCAGCTGTTGGCCTATCAAAGGTAAAAATAAGAAATCCTAAATACCTGTTAAAAGCTGAAATGTTTAAGTATAGTTTCATCTTCTCAGTTTCAAAGAGTTGTTTAGTTTTTTCTTTTTCCGTGTTTAGCAAAGTGACTATTTTTAATTTCTAAAATGCATCTAAGGGAAAAGAAGCAAGAGAATTTAGTATTTTCTTTCTATATTTTATGGACCAACATATAAATTAACTCCAGATTAATTGATATATAAAGATAAGAGTCACAGCTCTATGATGTTTACAATTCCAGGTAGAGTAATAAATCTAATAACCTTTTTCATCACCCTAACTAATTAATTTCTTAAGAAACATTGATCTTCATTGTTTAATTCTTTCATTTGAAACTTTCCATGTCCACAGTCATTAACTGGAGTTTCTCCTCTTTTCAATTCTTGTCATGTGAAGATTCACCAGATAATTGTTCAGTCAGAAAAACGCATCTAATATCATTTAACTGTGGCGTCTCCATCCTTCAGCTACGGTAGAGAAGCAGCTAAAAATACCCAGGATGCAATGTGACGTGATGTTAAGTCCCTGTACATTAGACATTCTGTAGTAAAGTCACTCCGACGCGTTGCTTCTGTCAACGATCTGCTGCTGGAAGCTTCCTCTCTCAGGGTGGACGCTAGAATTCCTGAACGACTCGAGGAAATGTTTTTACAAAAAACGCAGCTGCCTGACGTCTGGTGTACGTTTGCATAGGTCGTGTTGCACAATGGCCGTTTCCTCACAAACAGCAGCTACTGTGACGCTGGCGTTTCCCAGGAGGGAGGTGGCGGAATGTACCTGTCAAAACCAACTTAAACATATTTACATATTTCACATTTGCGCAGTTCTCAAAAGGCCACGCAGCTCATTTACATTTCGGAGAAAAGGTTCTGTTGATTGTGTGAACTTGATAAAGTTACTTCAGTTTTTGTTGTGGCCGTGTTAACGAGATCACGTCAGGAGCCGGGATTACAGTCTCGTGTCATGTGGAACCTCGAGCACAGAAATCAACAGAGGATTAATCAATCACATATAACTTTACTCAAAGGGGAAGGATGACGAACAGGAATAATAAATCTGCTTTGATAGTTTGTCTGTTTTTAAAATAGATTGTGTTCTTCAGAAAACATGAGGTAAATGTTTTAATCACTACATCATCGTCTCTGACTCCAAAATCTAACGACGCTTTTTCTATTCAGTGGAGATGTGACACGAGCCCAACACTCTTAAAACAAGTGTCGTGTTGTTATTGAATATTCATTAAAGCAGCTCGAGGTTTCATTATTTTTTATTTTCAGACGAGCTAATCGCTGTTGTCTGTAAAACGCCTCACACAACAAAGAGGCTTTGGAATAAACTGCTTTGTTTTTTTTCCTGCTGTGTTTGACTCCGAGGTTTTTATTCCTACCTGTCGGTTCCAGTGTTCATGATATGTGAAGTATTTTGTAATTTTGCTGCGATATAATTTTTTTTTTTTTATTAAAGCTGCTGTTGCCCCAGAGTGAATCACAAGTTCAAGTGAACAAGCGCGGTAGATTATCAGCGGCTTCACAGTCATTTTCACACTTTGCAGCTCTCGTCGCTCCTTTAGCGCAGACTGCGACGAAACTGCAATCAAGCTCCGGAGCAGAGTTAAAAAACAGGAAGCATGCTGGGAAATAGCAGCATTTACGACCGAGCTACGTGATGCTGTGGTGCTTTAACCTCCCTCGGCTGACTGGACTAAATATACTGTGCAGAGTGTGGTTTCTGGATTATTTCATCATATCTTCAGGATTATATTTTTGGGATAATGTATTGTTTGCAGGATTTAGGGTTCGACTCGTGGTTAACATGAAAGAATCCAAATAATAAAGCTGCTGGTTGTGAGGAGATAAGTACTGTTGACTTATCTGGGACAATGCCAGATTAATGCATTAATAACAAATGAGTGTCGTCATTGTCACTGTTTTGCTCGACGTCTATTAACCCGAGTGTTTGATACGGGTTTGTTATGTGGCGGCGGGGATAAAGCAAAGTTGTGACATCTGTGCTTCCTGCCAGATACTAACAACAACGGTTTAGTTTGTAAAAACGCAAAAAGTGAAAGTGAGAACAAGAGTGAAATCAGTGCATTTCAAGGTAAATCTGTGGGATCTCAACTTGAAGAATGACGAGCAGTTCTGGGTCGCACACACTGATATCATGATGCTCTCATCACAGTCAGGAGGCAGGATTAAGCTTCTCAGTGACTTTTGGATTATTTCAGCAAAGCATCAGGATTACATTTTCAGGATGAAATGGGATAAATGAGCTGTTGAACGTGGCGATGAAAATTCCTGGAGGATTCTGACGTGTTTGCTCTTCTGTGTTGTTTCTCTCCAGACCTCCCAAGTTTCTCAGACCCTCACATTCCTCTCGTGGCTCGTGAGATCATGCAGCGAATGATCCGCCAGTTCGCTGCCGAATATACCTCAAAAACTACTCAGGACGACCTGCCCCTGCCCAACGGCACCATGAAGGACCAAAGCCTACCGATAGCGGCGTCTCTGGCCCCGGGCCCCTGCTCCCCACCCGGGCCCCTGCCGGCACCGAGCTCCCCTCCATCGTCTGCCTCCTCCTCCCCATCCCCGACCCCGGGCCCAGGCCTCAGCCCCACTGCCGCTGCTGCCGCCTCAGCACCCACCTGCACCCAGAGCAGCAACGGCACGGGAGCCAGTAACGGTGGAGGAGGGGGTACGGCTGCCGCCTCTGCACAGAATCCCGTCCTCAGCAAGCTTCTCATGGCCGACCAGGACGGCCCGCTGGACCTCACCGTGAAGAAGAACCAGGCCGACTCAGAGCCCAGCCAGCAGGGTGAGAGCCACGACACACGGGTTTTTGTCTGTCCCATCTCATGCATGAGCACCTCTAACCCAGCGTTTATTTTCAACCTGAAAATAAAACAATAACCATCTTTTTTGGCGAAAGACGGGACAGACCTCATACTAAAAAAACACGGGAACAAAACCCAAACATTTTGTGTAAAAACACAACTGAAGGACCACACACAGAGACGTGTTGTGAGATGTTTTCATATGGTTCGAATCACCAAGACGCAGAGTTGCAGCACCCGTCGCTGTCACTCGTGGCCCAGCAGGCCAAGTTTGCATAAAGTTTTTAGTTTTGTATCCTGTGAGAAATTGTGTCGACTTTTTTACCCTTGTGAACATCAGTTGACAAAACTCGTACTTTTTTTAAAAACTTCTCATCCCCTTGGCGTTAGTAACACACTGGTGATTGCAGAACACATTCATTTCCTGCACATAGAGACTCTGATTCAACACGTTCAGATTCATGAACAGATCCCTGAGTAGCCGTCATCTTTTGGATTGAGCCCTGGCAGCGTGATACCCGGCTCTGAAATGTTGCCCAGGGTCTCAGTCTCCGTTTAATCAAACCAAACCAGCAGGAGGTCGGTGTTTCCATCACCGAGCAGACTGCAGGGTGGAAGCGGCAGCTCGCTGTTTCAGCCCTCAGCCACAGTGTGACCGGTCACCCAATTTAATACCAGCTTTTTGGAATCTGCTTACAGTAAGCCTCCTTAATTTTGACAAAAAAGATTTAGGCATTTATATCCACTGCATGCTCACACGTTATCTCTCTCTCCCCTACACACACACACACACACACACACAGAAAACACCTTTTAGATGAATTCTGCTCAGATTATCCCTAAAGCTGGATCATATACACGCACTCCTTTAAATTATAGCGTGGATGTAATTTCAGGAACATTTCTAAAGCTCCACAAATCAATGGTTTACATTAAATCGATGAATCAAATGATAACATCAAACGTTAAAGCATGTGCGGATGAACTCACTGTTTTTTAATTTTTAATTTAGCTTCTTTAACCTTTTACCAGTTTTGCTTTTAATGGCACATTCACTGAGTGTCTACGTTTCAGGACTCTCACCAACGGGGTTTCCAAAAGCTTCAGGCAGCTACTCTAGCTAACGAAACCTCAGTCAGTCCACTGAACATTCTGTTTTCCACCAATAAAAGACTCAAATTGTTAATCTGGGTCTTTTCTAAGAGTCTGGCAACATGACTCAAGTCTTTAAACACATATTGTCGTACGCTCAGAAATATGACTTACCCACGATACTGTTCATGATCATGATTCAGACCTTGCCCCATAAATCTGCCCATTAATGAAGAAACTGTTTTTCCCAACAACTTTTCAACGGGGAGCTCTCATTACTGCCACCAGCGTGTTATGTGAAAACAAGCAGGCTAATGTAGACGCAGATGCTAATTAACATGTTTATTAGCTCAGGGGAGGACCTCGTTAGCGTAGCTTAGTGTTTGAATAATCACGCTTGTTATCTCTGGACATTTTGTGACGAGCGTGCGATGTTTTGATTTGTTTCAGAGCCAAACGTCTCGGTACACACATGGTTCTGGATTCCTCGTGTGTATTTTCAGCGTGTGTGTGTTTTTTAATATCACCTAATGTTTTTCTGTTTTGTCCGATTAAACCACAAAAAGCCTCTGAAGATTAGTGAGTCCTGCGCCCGTTGTGTGGGTTAGAGGGGTCAGAAGGTCAGATGCACTTGAGGGATTACACCAGCAAAACACCGACAGAGACATCGTCTGGTTGTGAATTTATATTTATTCGTTTTCATTTCTGTGTGTACTGTATGTTATATTTCAAATTCCAAGTTTTAAAGATGTACCTGTGAAACTTATACCTTCTTTACTCCTGGCCACCTCGTATCGCTGCACTGTGCAGGTGAAACACATGTTTTATTGCACTTTGTCACACAAGCTTCACATCAGAGGAGTCCACTGGGTGAGCTGAATATGATGCAGTGGCCCCGGAACACTGTCGGCTGAAACTCAGACGTGCCGAACTGGAGTTTTATTATGAGAGAGATTGTGCAGTTTAGGACTAAACAAAAACATTTTCACATTTTCAATGTTCCCTTAGTGTTTTATATTTCTTTATACCTTCACATTTCTTCTGTTTTCTATTTTAAATTTGTTTTCATACTTTGTAGAACTAGAAATAACTGGATATGTAACTGAAACATTCCACAGCTTCGGCTTCAAATTTGATTTGTAAAAGGTAAAATATGCCGTTGATGGGTGTTTTTTTTTGTTTATATTTGCTTGACAGCAATTAAACAGAAATAAATATAATAAGGTTTAAAAAATATGTAAGAATTAATTATTAAAATGTTCTTGTTAGCTCTGATATAAAATGTTAACCATGCTCTTCAGTAAGTGAACAAAATGATGAATTTTCAACACAAATTCTTCGTCTGAATCATTTACATTTGTGACTTTCTGCATCTTTTCAATTTGTTTTCCTCAAATCCAACTGATGCTTTGAGTGATATTTGAAGTCCCAGTTGTTAAATCCTTTTTATGTTTTGTCCTTGTGTGATTTAATTCTCAGATGGCGTCCTGGACCTCTCCACCAAGAAGAACAACAGCGCAGACGGCCACAAAACCTCGCCCGGCTTCCCGCCTGCGTCTGGGGGCAAAGGGTAAGACAACAGGATTAGTCAAACTGGAAACTGTTCACAGAGCGGCGCTGTCATGCGCCTAAAACAACACAGCAGAGGTTAAAGCGCCCAGAGAGCGCGTCATGAGTCTAACACTGCCTGGGGATGTGGCCCGAGGTGATGATGTCAAACTCAGGATCCAGATGTTAAACCACTGTCAGGCTTCTCATTGGTAAACAAACACTGGTGAGATGACAACTGTCACAGAAACGGTTTCTCATCTGTCGTAATTCTCTGGACAACAAACACAAAGAAGCAGATGAGAGAATAAACATAACGACACTTTGAATATCTCAAGAAATGTTGCTGAGATTTAGATTTTTTAAACATCGGGCACTTTTAGGACTGGACTGATATTCAAGACCGATGTGGAGGTCGGTGCAGCTTGGTTGAATTTAAGGGAACTGTTGGGCCTTTGCAGACGTATGAGCTGAACTGAGTGAGTTAAAAGGGTTCAGCACATTTGAATTAGTTCATATGCGCAGTGATAAAATAATATTTGTGATTGTTTTCTGTTCGAGTTCATGTGAAACCTCCAAACATTTTGAATCTGTCAGCGTAACGGTTTTATTAACTTGTGTGGGTTCAATACAAAGAAAAGAAAACAGGCAGTGATATAAAATACTATATATATATATATAAAAAATCACATTCTACATCACAAAGATTTCAACACTTTAAAGAAACATCAGCGATTCGGTTGAACGGGGTTTGACCCTCATTAAAATCTTGTCTCCCCGTTGTTTCAGCACGTTATTCATGTTCCACATCGTTCTAATAATAAGCTGTTTACATAGATACACTTTCAGAAGTCACACAAAGGCTGCGGGAGCAACCTGTTGATGGTTGGACCTGAAAGAAATCGACTTTGTAGAAACAGGAAACTGAGGATCCGCAGGTCGTGACAGGGACATGCCCTCAGTCTGTCTTCCTACATTTTGGGGGCAGAGTTTTCGATCCTCCCCGTCGTCCTCGAGTGAGTCCTGCCAACGCCTCCCACATCTCGCACATTTTATCTCGTACATATCGGTTACGTTTAGCTGATCAATACGTAAGCTAGCATCCGTCTCACGGCAAGGTTGTACACCGAACCCCAGAGAGAGAGTTCAGCAGCAGTGCATGTCAAACACATGACGAAGGCTTGACCGCCTTTCTTTTTTTGTCTCTCCGTGTCAGTACCTTTATTGACAAACCTCCTTGTTGCCGCCTGATCATTATTGATGAACACGTACTTTGCCTTGAAGTCATGTTTGAATCTGTACTCATCATACTCGGCCCCTGCATCAAGAGGGAATAAGCAATCAACGCTAATCGAAGCTGCCTTTTCCAGGAATACTTTCGATGTGTAGGTCAGAGATGGATTAGGAGAGGTTCGATTCGCCGAGCAGCCGGTGGAGGGCGTGGGCACGGAAAACTTGCGCCCACCATGTTGGCAGTGTCTCTTTGATGCAGCAGTGAAAACACCTCCAACCGCTCTGTGAACCGACACGTGAGAAGTGACGCATCCACATTACACGGCACGAGTGGTTCTTACGAGCTAATGCTAAAAATAATGCTGCTAATACAAAGCTACCAAACCAGTTTCAGAAAATCCATGAAGCAACCTGGTGTTTAACCAGAAGCTTCAAAGCTTCATACACTTCAGGTTCTTTTATCATTTATTGTTTTTTTTTTGTTTCGGGACAAAATCGATCACAGTTTACAGAACAAATTTATTTCTCCGTTAAACATCAACGTGCTGCCTCATCCAGAACATGAATTTGGCTTTTACTCCCCAAAAAGTTTGGTTAACTTGTTTACAAACTGACTGATGCACCTCGTTGTTGGATCATGTTCATGATCATGTGACTGAATCGGTTGAGAACGTTTTTGAAGAGTGACAGACGAGTGGGATTTCTTATCATTTGCAATATTTTACCAGCGATTGTGTTCGTTTTCACTGAATGCAGCATAGAAAGGTCTCTTTAATTTATTTCTTTAGTTATTTAAAGGATCCAATTCAGGGGTGATTAACTTTTTCCTTTCATGAGCCAGTAAAATTTTTATACCATCCTTCCCAAGCTGTACTAAATAAATGAACGCGTACATCTCAAAGACGATGTCTGGAGCTTCTCTTTAGGGAGCCGTCTGATGGCAGATGATAGTGATGTTGATGCTACTTGCAGCTGGTTTTCAGCAAAACCTTTATCAATAAAATCCACATCCTTGGTAATTTCCAAATCAAATCCTCTCGTATGTCAAACCATTGACAAAAATGGCAATTTGGACGATATGTTCTACATCTGATGTTAGATTTTAGGCCAAAGACTATTTCCTGTGTTGTCCATATTAGTAGTTCTCTCTCCAGCCAAAGGTTAAGTGAACCTAGCTAATGTTTTCAGCCATTGTCTTCGTTCTACCTATAGTCCATAGATGCAGGTTAAGTTTATTGGAGCCTTTAAATGACTTGTAGGTGTTGGAATGAGTGTGAACGGTTGTTTGTTCTGTATGTCGGACCTGTGAGGGGCTAAATTAGAATCAGCACCTTAAGCCCCTCAGGACAGGCCCCGTCTCCTGACTGAGTTTTCTAATGCCCCATAGGACCCGAGGCCTGAGCCTCAGTGTGCGTCTCTAATGATCAGGTCATGTATTATTTACTGCAGGAGGAGGTGGTACCTGACTTTCCAACCCCCACCAGCACCCAGTCATTTTTTTGACAGGAGAACATTCCTCAAAGCACAAAGCTACCGGACTTAGATGGATAATTATTTTCTGACCGTGTTTGCATGAAAATGGCAGAAAAGAGTCAAATTGTTTGTGTTTTTTTTGGGTTTGTTACTAAAAGAATTGCTGTGATTTATAATTTTACTCTTATAACATATGTATATATAATATGTTGGCCATGAGCTACAAACCAAAACAGATTCATCTTAATGTCTCCCGATGGTTTAGATGAATCAAGAATACAGTCCAATCTACTGCAGGCAGAATTCTTTTTGAATGTACATAGTTTTAAAAATTAAATACCAGTTCAAGGATGAAACGGCCGTGCTTCAAAAACCATCTCAGAAACGCTCTTTCAATCCATCTCATTGGGGATCCTCCTCTGTTACTTACATTCCTTTGGTCCTTTTATTTTCCCAAATATATGCGAGCCCCCCCCCGATGACTGAATGCTTACTGTAACAGAACGCTCTATTAGAGAGCAGACTCCGAAGCCTCTCGTTAACCCTGCATTGTTTTCAACAATCCCGAGACCGCCCACTGTGATAATCTGTCTTAAAGCTCCTGCTGAGGACTCCCCACATCGCGCAGTCAGCTGCACTGTAGCTCACCAGAATACAGGACATCTCTGAAGCAGAGACACAGTATTTCCCTCAAGTTTCTTTTCCCCTGCCATCCGCTGACTTGACGAGCCATTTTCTGTTAATCTGAACCTGAGGGAAAATATTTAAAGAGTCTTTCCTCTGTTGCTATAGTTACTCAGCAGTGGGAGCACTGGCTGCAGCGGTTCAAGTGCAGGCACTTTGCATGTAAGTGTATGTTATAGCAGCAGAGATGGTTTTCAGAAATTTGAAACACTGAAATATAAAAATGCTTCCAGACCAGCGGTGGTTGCCAGGATGAGACACTGTTTGTTGTGATTTCTGTTCACTGCATCTTTATTCATCCAGAAACCCAATTTAAAATTTAAAAGAAATAAGACTTAGTTAATACAAGCTTTCCTTTCTCTGGTTGTTGAGGCCTTGTGAGAAGTTGTGTCGAACCTTTAGGGATTAAATCTATAAAACATGTTTTAATTAATTTTAAAGATTTGAGAATATATCATGTATTTTTAATGACTAATGTTCTTGTGCCACTTCAGATTGAATTCACACACAGAGTCAATGCAAACAATTAATTGATGTTTAATAATGAAGCTCTGGGAAACAAAATGTCTATGTTAGTGTTTTATCAACTATCAACGTTGCATTTAATGAGACAATAATGCAAAGATGTTTCTTGAGTTTTCAGGTTTTACCGAACAGCTGTGTGGGTATTCATAGCTTCACTTGACCTCCAGTGAAATGCCACTTCCCACATTATGCTGTATTGTCTGGTATTCATGGAGATTGTTTCACTCGTATTTGCAGATGTGGCGAGATATCCACCACGGAGACTGACAGTCTGATAGATCGTACAGAACATAGAAAGCTACGTGTCGTTAAAGTGTCTCTGGACAATCCACAGACTTTCAAAGGATTTAACAGAGGATCAAACGATGTTAACAAATAAAAAATGAAAGTTGCGGCGGCATCTTTTGTTGTTCTCAAAACTTTGTTTACAAACGTCTAAATGAATCTCTGGTTTGTTTGGTCCTTTTTATTTTTTTTCCAATTTCTAGTCGATCGATTAATATGATTTTTTGATTAAAATGTCACTAATCTTGAATCCTTGTCTTTTTTTCTTTCTTTTTTTACAGACGTTCCCTCAAAGTGGAACATACCCTGCCCGATGTGGACGAGGAGGACGCCCTTCTGCAGAAAAGCTTGCAGGACGGACTGAGGGAGAACCACGTCAGCTCAAACTCCTTCAAGCCGCCACTGGCCCGCTCACTGCGCATCAAGGAAGAACTCCTCAGCCAGAAGCACCGCCTCCTGAGCCAGCCTGCTGCTCTCTCATTGGCTAATCTAGAGTCAGCTGGCTTGCTCAATCATGGGCAGTCCCAATCCTTGCTTAGCCAGAAGGGCTCCTCCTCTTTCTGGGGAAGCAAGGCCCACCTGGAGAGCCTGATGAAGCTGAAACAGGCCAGTGGAGCTCTGAGCGGGGCCCTCAGTGACCTTAAAGACCTGCCTACATTCCTGGAGAATCACCACCACAACCACCATGGAGCCTTTTCCATCAAGAGTTCCCTTCTCCATCACCACCACAATCAGGTCTCCAAGGCCCAACACCACCACCAAAACGAGGGCAAGAGAGACCAGGGCCACTCACCTCCTGTCGACCTTAAGATCCCCCAGGTTCGGGGCATGGATCTCTCCTGGGACTCCCATGCCTCTGAGCTGTATGGCTACGGCAGCATGGGGGTTGGGGGTGGTGGGGATTCTTCCCTGAGCCGGAAGTTGAGAGCCATCTTGCCCAAGCAGAACCGCCGGGGATCGAGCCTCGGAAGCCTGCTGGATGGGGCGGCTGACTACTGGAGCTCTGACTTGGAGCACTCCATCTCTGGTCCAGCGTACTCCACCTCCGACGTTGAAGGGGACCCGAACTCCAAGCAGCCACGGAAGAAGAGGGGCCGTTATCGCCAGTACAACAGTGAGATCTTGGAGGAGGCCATCACGGTAGTGATGAGCGGGAAGATGAGCGTATCCAAGGCTCAGAACATGTACGGCATCCCGCACAGCACCCTAGAGTACAAGGTCAAAGAGCGCATGGGAACCCTGAAGAACCCCCCAAAGAAGAAGCTCAAGCTCATGATGAAGATGGAAGCGGGAGGCCAGGATTTTCCCGCCGAATCGGAGAACACACCAACCTCAACCCCGCGAGACGACGGCCCACCTCTGGCAGCTGCAGAGCTCAAGGACAATGTCAAAGAAGAGATTGATGACAATTTCAAACCAATCGACTAAACGACTTACACATGTAAACCTCAGTCAATGACTTAAGTAATTTGAAAACGGATGGGGCTTTATTTGTGCCAATTTACTTTGCAGTATCTGGGTGAGCACAAATGCAGGGATAATATAAGGAGGATATATAAAAACACACTGGAGAGAAACAACTAATCGGATGGTATTTAACAAGCGTCCCTAAAGCGGCGCTGTGCAAGCATTTGTTTAGCTTTCATATCCAGGGGCTGAACAAATGCAGCTAAAGACATTGGTTAAATGACAATTAATGAAATTTCCTAAGCATGCTGATAATCCCGAGCCCAAAAACCCAATCGCCCTTTTTCTGAACTTGATACACTGAACCATTGCTGCTTATAAACGCAGTTTGGGCTTTGGACTATTCCAATTTGGGGAGAAACAAGGGGAAGTTTGGAAATTAACTCACAAATCTTGTCCCTTTACCCCTCTCTCATGGATAGCTGACAATTGGTAAGTGAACTGTCTATTACATTTGAAGCCAACTGTAAAGTTTAATCATACCACTGATATTCCTCACTGGGGTTCTGAATCAAAACCCATTCTCTTATTGCCAGGTAGCCATGACGCTTTAACTGCAAACCTTTTCTTTCCTCCTAAAGATATTCTGCTAATCTCTGTGCGAATGAAAGCAACATTAACCCGTCCTTTTTGAAAAACGAGAAAAAGACACACAAAAGTCATTCAGGGATGCATGTCTGTGAGTAACGTGGACACTACTGACTTCTATAACTGACTTCTTTTCCTCTATCTTTTCGTTTGATTTGTTTTTGCTTTCTTTTGCACTACACTTTGGGTCTGGCGCTTACAGACCAGGTTACCTCGGCATTGTTGCCCTTGCATCATGCACTTATTATGGTCTGTCTCTGAAGCCCAGTCGCAACCTCTCAATGGGTCAGAGGTGCACATCGCCTGCGTACGCTGATCCATCATCAGATTCAGGAGGCGGTTTAACCCTCTTTTTTTGCCAGTGGACAAGCGGAGGGCTAATCTGATCATGGATCAGCTGGTTTTTTAAGGCGGAATGCTACCTCATGGACCTCCGTCAGTGTCTCACTGCTGATCCTGGAATGCCGGAGATGCCTTCAGGTTTCCTTCCAAACGGTAACCGAAGTGAGCTCATCCCCGTCCCGGCGATCTTTACCCGCTAAAGGCCTTTTAGGATCAGAATGTGAAACTCTGCTGCTATACAGTCGATTATCTAGCTCCTACACAAGGCTTTAGTTAGCCTAAGCTAATGCGTTCTAGCTCGTCTTCGCTAACAACGATACATTTCTGATGGTTTTGTCTTTTTTCCTTTTCTAATCAAACTAAGCAGAAGCAGCTTAGCTGATGAGTTTTTAAAAAGAATCTCCTCCCTCAAACGTCAAAGACAGTTTTAGAGGCCGTTTACTACAACAATGTGCATTTATAGAGGGCTGTTGATTTTGGGTGGTGGGTGGGTAATATGCAGTGGGGAGGTGTAGATGAAAGAGGTGAGGGAAAGGCAGATTTTAATATATTATAAGTTATTATTACTGATTATGTAAAAGCCAATCCGGGATTTTTTTCTCCTCATTTTTAACTCAGGGTAACTGAGACAGATGATGTGGGTTTCAAATATGGTCATTTCTTCTAGGACCTGTAGTAGACGGACAGGACAACACACAATCTCACTGACGTTTGCTGTGCAGCAGACAGACCTGCTAACGAATCATGAAACAGTACAGACTAAAATACTATAAACTTCTAAAATAGCACTTTTCAAAACTAAGAAATACAAGAGAGTAAAATCTGTTCGAGGTTCTGCGTGTAGTTCTCTTCTCTGAGGGATATGGAGGCAGAGAGATGGAAAATAAGCTTTAGTGTGTGAAGACTTTCAGAAAGCTGCAGCTTGGACCCAAACGACTCTTTCTTTTCATCTCAATTACCTCCACGAATTCAAGAAAAGAAAGAAAAGTTTTTTTAAAAAAAAGGTCAACAGCTTGAACAAGTTCAGTTTTGTGTCGTGTCGTCTTGTCGCTTTCCCTCCCGTCACCGCTGAAGCACCAGGGACAGAAAAACTATCTGGGGAAAGAATATCCCTCAGAGGACACAAGTGGAAAGACAAAAAGCTCTTCTGATGTTTTCCATCAGGAAAACACTGACGGAGATGAAAAATGCTTTTGGTTGTTTTGTTTTGTTTTGCTCTGTTGTAAATGTCGCTCTTCGCTCCGAACACTGCCTGGTGCTCACCCAGTGTGTGAGATTTTTAACATGAGAACTGTACCTCTCTGCTCAGATGATGATGATTCACTCCTTTTGAAATGTATTGTATATTTAATTTATTTGATCTGTTTTTTCTTTTTCTTTTATCATTCTCTTGAAAATGGCATGCACCACTTCTCTGGCTGATTCTGGGGTCAGGCCGACTATTTATGTTGAGAGGATTTCAACTCAATTAATCCTGAGCCAGAGACGCTAAAATCATCGAGAATTCAACTCTTTTACTACCTGTTGCATACAATCTGAATTATACCTGTCAAATATTCCATTTAAGCTTCGTAGCTGCCTTGGCTTAATTGGCACGTCTGCATGGCCAATGGGAAAAGCTGTAGGAAAGACCCCTGGAACTACGAATTGCCGGGCGGTCGTCATGCATGAAATGCGTCCAACACTGACAATGCTGAGCATTTGAAGTGTCTAAAGGTTGTTGTGTGCGTTGAGTTGGAGCCAGCGAAGGACAATGCACTGATGTGATGGTTAAAACAGGATCTCAGCTCCAGTGTTGATGCACTTCTCAAGAACACGCCTCTTATGAAAAGGCATGGAGCTGCTCACTCAGCCGGCCGTGAGCAGCCGTTTGACAAAAACATAACTTAGCGTGACCCCTTCGCTCCAGAAAACCGAGCAAACACACTGCGGCAGTCTGCCTGTTTGCCTGTTTCATGTAATGCATGTAAAGCCTGGATTTATGCTGATAGAAAAGAAAATATGTGTGTTTAGAAATAGTGAAATTGGCACTTAATGCACAGGTTTGAATGGATAAACTCCAACAGCACTTAGAGTGAATTCCCCTGAGAGGGGCAATTCCTCGAGGGCCAAATGATCTCTGTGTATAATTTACACAAATCTCTAAATCATTTACAAATCTCCTTCTTTACCTTTGCTGAGCATTTGGCTAAAAATTGTCTTTGCTTTTTAAAAATTCTAGCGATTGAAATTGTTTTGCGGTCCCACTGTCAGCCTGATCTTATCTACTGAGGTGCATGCCATTCATGGTATTTATTTAATTCCATTGTCAGTTTTTTTCTTGGGTTCTATTGATTGTCTATAGTCATGTGGTTAACAGCTCCCCCTGTCCAAAAAGTCCTCCTCCTTGCAACTGAGTCTCACTGCAGTTTTTTTTTTT